TGGAATCTGAAGGAGCTCTGTGAGGTCTCACTAAGAATTTAGAATAATTTCACATTTATTTAGTTTATACACCCAATTTTTCACTGATGGATTTTAACACAGTTCTTTTGGCCTTAAGAATAAGCAGGTTGTTCTCGGCAAAGGCAAGGTTGTTAAGAGCATAGGTGGTCAGAGATGCTGCATCTGTGATACCAGCTCTGCCTTTTACTAGCCCAGGTAGCTGTTACATTTTTTGCTTCATTTTTGACTCTGGTATTTGTGTTTTAATAAAAGGGAAATGATGCTGATACATGTAGATGGTTCTCTTGTGAAGTTATTGTGCTTAATACTGTGACTGGCATCCTCTGCGTAGAGTGTTAATGCTTTCTTTGTATTGATGATATTTTAGATCAAGCTAGTGAAGAAAAAAAACGACTTGAGGAAAAACAAAGAGCAGCCCGCAAAAACAGGTCCAAGTCAGAAGAGGACTGGAAGACGAGGTGCGTGCCTGAGTCGGGGTGTGAGGCTGCTGTTGCCAGACACTGTGACCCCAGAGCAAGGGCCTACCTAACACAGACCCTGCCGACTTGTTCCAGGCCTGAAAAAAAGTTATTTCCACTGACTTATCCATTCATTCATCCATCACTGATGGACATAGGTTGATTCCCTATCTTTGTTACTGTGAATCATGCTCTCATAAACGTGGAGATGCAGGTACCCCTTTGATACATTGAATTCCTTTCCTTGGAATACCCTGTAGTGGGAATGCCAGATCATAAAGCAGTTAAGTTTTTTTAAGAAATCTCCATACTGCTTTCCATAGTGGCTGTTCTAATTTATATTCTCACCACCAGTATATGAGCTTGTTTTTTTCTGCATCCTCACCAGCATGTATTTTTTTTTTTAATAATAGCCATTCTAACTGGTATAAGATGGTATCTTGTGGTTTTTATTCACATTTCCCTCATAGTGATGTTGAGCATCTTCTCATATCCTTTTGGCTATTTGGATGTCTTCTTTTCAGAAATGTCTATTAATGTCTTTTGGATTGTGTGTAGCATGGTATATTAGAAAAATCAGTCGTCTTTTTTTTTTTTTTGAGACGGAGTTTCGCTCTCGTTACCCAGGCTGGAGTGCAATGGTGCGATCTCGGCTCACTGCAACCTCCACCTCCTGGGTTCAGGCAATTCTCCTGCCTCAGCCTCCTGAGTAGCTGGGACTACAGGCACGCGCCACCATGCCCAGCTAATTTTTTGTATTTTTAGTAGAGACGGGGTTTCACCATGTTGACCAGGATGGTCTCGATCTCTTAACCTCGTGATCCACCCGCCTCGGCCTCCCAAAGTGCTGGGATTACAGGCTTGAGCCACCGCGCCCGGCGAAAAATCACAGTCTTAACATTAAACCTAAATTTGCCAGCAGTGACTAGGTTGGGCAAGTTATTTAACTGCTTAGACATTCAGCTTCTGTGTAAAACGGAGCTTTAAGAGTCTGAAGGGCATTTACTCTGAACCAGGTGCCTTATATACTGCTGTGGGTGTGCTATAAATTTTAATTTCCTTATCCTAATTTACTCCTAACTGCTTAAAAGAATGTCTTGTGGAAAATAAGAGCCAGCCTAGAGGATACACCAGTTAGACAAATACGTTGTTCAAACCACCCTATTAGAAGACCCTGTTTCTGTCAAGTAGCTTAGATGCCAGTGGGAAATCCATATCACTTTTGCATGGTATCATTACTTCTTCTGGAATATTATTCTGCAGACCTGTTCCCTAAGCAGAAAAACAGCATCACTTCAGCATCTCTTTGAAAATCCCTCCCTCACAGAATGAACGCTGCAATAGAAAAATACTACAAGCTAGTGAAGAAACAGCCTGTGATTTTGAATCATTTCTCCTGTTAAGTCTTGGCCTTTTTCTTTTAACAGGTGGTTCCATCAAGGTCCTAATCCCTACAATGGTGCACAGGACTGGATTTACTCTGGCAGCTACTGGGACAGAAACTACTTCAATTTGCCTGACATTTATTAAAATGGATACAAGTCAGGGTGTTTGGCTAATCTATAAATAAGTCTTAAACCTATGTTTTTAAATTTTTTCCCTTGGTTTCTACTTATCTTTAAAAAGAAGAAACACTCATGTGATAACTGCATTTCACCCAACAAAAGTAGGTTATAAGGTGATAATGGTGATGAAAGTCTTAGGAAAAATGCATAATTTTGCTACAAAATGTACTTATTTGGAATACTATTTTATATAGAAGTAAAAGAAAACTGCTGGGGAATATGCTTTTTATGTTTGCTGTTGCCATATTTACTGAAGGTTTATACCTAAATGTAACTTTAGCTTTATGGAACTATATAGTAATCCCAAATCAAGTTATTTTGAGTATTTTTATGCTGTCATGCTTGAATGTTTTAGATGTAACCTTTGACATATTTAGAACTCTCCTCCTATACAATGTTTACGTGCACAAATGTAGAGGTTATGTCATTTTGTGAAGACTCCATTGATTAAGATGGCTTTTATTCATACTAATCCTCCCAATTTTACCCCTTCCGTCTTCCATCTTCCAAGAAAAAAAGATGCCTGAATATTCAGAACAGGTATTTCATTTGAAAATAGTTCTAAAGAATTAAACTGGAAAAGCATTTCGTTTACTTAGCTCTGAATTTAGTTTTACAGTTTTCTGCAATCAGTATCATTAAAATGTTTAATTTTACGTTTGAACTGAAAATAGGTATAAAATCTAGCAATTCACAAAAATGCCCTAGAAATACAGATTTTAATCACATTACATAATGACAAACCTTTTTAAATCCTTCCATTTCCAGTGGCAAATGCCACTAGAGAAATTAAGTTGCACTCATGTATGTAAGTATCAGACTATATAAAAGGAGGTCTTGTGCATTTCAAGTTTGCAAGGTACCTGTGTACTTAAAATATGTGTGGAGACCGACTGTATAGTAGCTTTGCCCCTTTAATTGGGGTCCATTAATCATTTATCCACCCAAACTCCAGACTGAGATATTGCTCCCAGGGGCCTGAGGTAGCTGCCAGTACATGATTTTAATTGCTGTCTTGAAGTTAACAAGTGTTATAATGAAATAATCTACCTGATGCTAAATAAAGCCTTTAGAATGTTCCCCCAAATTGTGGTTTCTTTTAAATATACTAATGTTGTCACTTAATATTGTCAGAAGTGTCCTTTCAAAGAAGTCCTTGTGGTACCACAGCTCCAAGAGCCAAGGAGATAACCAGTTACCTGGTGTACATAGTGGTAAGTAGGTATTTAGCATTCAGTTAAACTTGGTCACTGCCATATTAATTCGGTGTAAATCCCAAATGCAGAAGTAAGTGGAAATACCTGGCTAGAAAATTCATTGCTAGATCTGTTAGAGCGGGAATGGTTTAAACATATATATACACATAGAAACTGGAAAATGATACTGCTTTATAGGTCTAAAAAGATGAACTTTTGTGTTTGGTTGGTTACTTGTAGCCCTCCTAAATTACAAAAGTAATACAAAATTGTATGCTTGCATGAAGTTTATTGATACATCACACTTGGTGGCAGACTCCTCCCTGAATGTTGACCCTTCAAACAGCGTCATTGCTGGATCTGTTAGGAATAATGCAAATTAAAGTTAAACATGCAACTGAACATGTGAAATGAGTAGAAAATCAGAAACGCAAGGTCTACCCTCCTAGTTAAACTAAGCTTAACTAGTTACCTATGTGCTTTTGCATTACAGTATCCTAGCAATTTCATGCTGAAAACAGCCATTTTGACAATTCCACTAGAAGTCCATTAAGAGTTTAAATAAGCATGCACGTAGCCCTCAGATGGTTTGTCTTTCCTTAAATATAGTAATTGGTCCTTGAGCCTGCTAATGAATGAAATGTAGCTTTTGTCCATCTCTCAGATGTTCAACTTAAAATTCCCACAAATTATTTTAAGTAACTAATTGGTATATAACACTTCTGTACTTTCAACTCATCTCCCCACTTCCTCTGTTGACCTTCCCCTTAGTGCTAATCTTTTTCTACATAGCAATCTGAGGGAATCTAATAAAAACAGGAATCTGATTTTATCATTCTTCTGCTTAAAACACTTGTGCTGGCTTCCCGTTGAACATTCAATCAAAATCTTCATCTTATGCAATCCCCCCATCCCCTCCCAGCCAGTCTCACTGTGGCCTACTTTGCTGTCTCTGGAACCCGTGTTCTTTCCTGCCCTAGGACACAACCTGGGCACACCCTGCAAAGCTGGCTCCTTCTCATGCTTGGGTGTCAGTTTGTATCTGAGCCTGAACACCGTATCTATCTAATAGTGACACTTAAAGGCAGGCCTGCATCAGTACCTTGTTTTCTCCATAATACATGTTGTAATATACTTTTCTGTCTGTCTCCCCCATTAAGATGTAGGTTTCATGTTTTGCTTACTCTACTGTTCACACATGGGGGAGGAGGGCTAGCATAGGGCTTGGCATTAAGTATCAATGAAAAACCTAAAAATGACTTGTGAGTGATCAAGCAGTCTCATCCAGTTAACCTCAGCTGTTACTTAGCTCTATTCTGCTTCTCACCTGTCCATCTACTGTCTCTTACCACATGAATTAAGTGCTCTGTTACATAATCAAGACTTCTGTCTTACCTTGCTCTTCAGTTTTTTCCAGCTCCTCCCTAAACATGCCAACTAAATCGTCCTGTTTTAAAAATCCATCCCCTTTTCGCATCTACCACTGTGTTAGACAATGGACTAGGTATTCAAAGGCAACTGAGTTCATTAGTTTCATGTATTGGGCATCAGATCCTTGGTGCAAGTCATTGTGGTACAGTGCATCTGCCTCCTGTGCATTTATTAGTAACTGGTGGTTAGGAAGTTAGAGACAGTAGCCGCAGGAAATTTATCTCAAACTGTTTTTAGCTATCTAAATCTCCAGGTCAATAAATCAAAATGCTTAAAACACGAGTTTTTTTTTTTCCTACCTACATATTATGGTAGGAAAGAGTACCTACCAGTTTTCACTTTCTGCTTTGCGAACTTTGTGAGCAGTAGCCACAGTTATCTCCCCAGCAATACCGTAACTTCCAAAGGGAGCACATTTGTCACCAGATCCTGAACTTTTTTTAGCTACATCTTCTACTGGGAAAGCAACAGAAAGAAAAACAGGGCTTTTTGGCTTGGGGACATCTTGTCCACTTGGAGGATTAGCATTGTGGGGACTTAGAGTATGTTTCTGGAATTTCCCATCTGCAGGAACAGCAATGGGCACTTGTACTGCAGCGTATCTCTTCAAGACATCTGACTGCGAAACAACAGCATGCCCAGGAAGAGGTTCCCATTCCTGTGCTTTCTGAACATTTGAGCCTACTAAGATAAAAGGTGGGGCATTGATCTTCTTTGTGTCGTCCATCACATAAATTGGAGAAGTGACTGTTGGTGGATGCTGCAGAAACTGAGGATCCTTAGGATTAGATATGTAGAGGGTTGCTTGGGGGAAAGGCCCAGGTGCAGGTGGCGGTGATGAGTGACTTTGTTGATTCTTATCAGTTAGACAATAAAGGGTCCACATGTTGGAATATGGTGGTGGCTGTTCTGGTTCGCTTGCTGCCATTGCTATAAAAAAAATTTTTGCAGGCATTAAAGTTTTGGTCTATCAGGCACTATGCATAGTAATGTCTTTGTAAGTCTCTTTTATATATTAAAACAGCTGTAGTGATATGTACCACAAAGCATTCTATAGAGAGGGCTGCATAATTTTGTTTGGCAATGTGAAAGAGATTCTCTACAGTAGGGAAAACAGGAAGTGTTGTGGTGGCCAGTGGGAGGGACGCTACAGTTGTGTCTGAAGAAGCAAACCCATTCTAAGTTGCTGTTTCTAGCTACTTCAACTTTAGACATGGCTTCTATAGGATCCTTGTAGAGGAAACTGGACAGTCAACACAACCTTTAACTTTACCCAAAGTCAATTGAGTGTAGAGTGTGTTAAGCTATTAAAGGAAGTGTTAATGCATCTACATAGTGTTTTCTTTCCTAAAGAAGTTAGCACTAGGTATCATCTTCACCACATAATCAAAATATCTTTGGCCCTATCACAGCCACCATTATCTCCCATTAATTTGTTACCACACATACAAAATCACATAATCTAGGACTCAGAACCCCAAAGAGCACCACTTTTAGGCAAGACTTGAAATCATAGGTCCTAGGTGGCAGTGAAAGGCTGGTTGGTCCCACAGGGGTTTTTCGGGTTGAGAGAAAGAGGTCTAGGAGTGCCATCTATCCAGAATGCAAGTATACAAGCCAGATCTTCAGTTGTTTCACAAGGAGGGAGGTTTTGATAATCTGAATTTTTTGGTTACTATCCCTTTAGTATTGTGGACAACTCCATTTTACTTTAGAAATAGTTAAGCATTTGAAAACAGTGACTTGGTCTGGAAGTACTGCTTAAGCCACAAATACAGCACCAGTTCCACACACTCCACTCCCAGCACTGTCCTCTGCCTTTCCAGCTGTGCAGAATCCCGGTCACACTGCCAGACAAAATATGATCTTTTCTGAACACCTGCTTTGCCAACACTTTTTGAATCCTTCTGGCTTGGTTAAGAGTTTTTGCAAAAGGAATGGGGGGATTGGCTCATGCATGTCCCTTCTATCCCTAAAAAGAGAAGGGCCCCTGCAATTATCCATGAGGCAGGAGGGTGAGCATACCAAATGCCATAATTAGATAGAGATGAAGGTCACATCATGTCTGTATCACAGGAAAACATGGTGATAGTTCAGCAACCAAGAAAACAACTTGATTTTTGGCACTTGCCAGGGAGAGGGAACTGATCAAAGGAAGCCAATTATGTGAACTGCATCTATTGCTGTTCCAAGTGCCGGGGTATCTTTTCTGCTGCTAATACTTCCCTGCTCCCCTGACCTTTCCCCTCTCCATGTAGCTATGAAGCTGTTTCCTCAGCTGCAGGAAGCTCCCAGGCAGAAAACAAACGCATGGCCCAGCACCCCAAACCTGGTTACAGAGGTCTCCTGACTCAGTGCGAAAGCAAACATGCCACCATTTTTTCACTTTTTAAAATGCCACAGCCTATGTAAATGCACTGCTATAGTTTTACATTCACAAGAGGAAATTTCAAACCAGCACCCCCTAATTAGTTTTGCAATCAGCATATTTAGATCACATGAATATATTTTGTACCTGACAAGAGGCTATGATGTTGACTACATAATATACCCAAAAGAATAACATTAAAGGGCTATATGACCAAACTTTGAGGCCAGGCTTTGGGGACATCACTTTAAAATCACTCATCTCATAGTACTAGAATTTCAGATACAACAAAGCCTTTACATAGCTTTGACATTTAAAAAAAATCTGAAAATAAAGACTGACCAATCTGCAGGGAGCCTACACAGATGGCTACCTGAAATGCAATTTGTAATGGAAATATCCGATTTTCTTACCTGGCTTCATCAAACCTTATTCAGCTGTTGCTTCCCCTTCTGGTTCGATTTCTGGTGCAGTAAGACCTTCTGGAGCAGAAGGGAAGGGGCCACTAGATGATTTTATAGATGTACCTGAGTGCACTGCTTCTGCAGCTTCCCCAGAGAGCACAGGTTTGCCTTCCATCTCCTGGGGTGCAGAGTTTTCCCCGGACTCCTCCTGCCCAGTATTGTCAGAGACTATTGAAGTGATCGCCACTTCAAAGTGCAGAGATTTTTCAGAGCCTATTTTGATAGTGCCCTCTGCATCCAGGGGTTCTGCAGGTACCTCAGGCTGACCTTTCAAAGATGTGTCTGAGAGCAGAGCTGTTGCTTCTGCCTCCATATATACTGAGGGATATTTTTCATTCTCCTCCAACTGTGCAAGTTTTACAGATTCTACAGATTTTTTAGACATGCCAGAGGTTGTCTTTTCTACTACAGGTTTGGGACTACCTGGTGGTGACTGCTCATTTTCTTTAAGACAAGCAACTTGATCAGTGAAAGGGATAACTATTTGTTCTGGCAGTTGCTCAACATAAACAACTCCTTCAGTTACAGGCACATCATTATAGATAGATGATATACGAACAGTTGACATAACCTCAATATCAGCCTGCAAAGGGACCTCAGGAGCTTGATCATAAGCAGGAGGTTCTTGTTCATCCTGCAAGGGGACTGAGGAAGCCGTTGATAGTTCAGCCTCATTTTCTTTAGGTTGAGAACCCAAATCTACATGGACAGATGTTTGGCTCACAACCTGCACTTCTAGTACCTTTCCAGAATACACAAGAGGAGCAGCCACCATGACATCTTCAGCAGCCTCTGAGCTCGGCACCTCCTTGATAACAACAGGCATACTGGTTGCCACATCCACCATTAAAACATCAGATTGATCAGAATGAATAGATGAAACTTTACCTAACATCTGAGCAGCAAACTGAGCTGGGTCAGCTGGGACATAGGCAAACTCTGGTGAGACAGCTGTTGGAGGTGGTGAGGAGGGTGGGGTAGCAGTCTTAGGGGTAGCTGCTTTGGAAGAAGAATCATGAACTGCTTCAGTTTGCTCAGCACCTAGCTCAGCAGAAGTTGATGATGGAAACTGGGTGGTTTTGTCATTATATCCTGTTCCGGTTACATTGTCCTCCTCTGTGTCTGTAGATTTTTCCATCCGTGTAGGTACTTTAGATTCTACAGATGTTTTTTCTGGTTCTTTTAAACATTCTACTTTCTTCGGTCGTATTGATCCTTCTGACCACTTCTGTACTAAAACACACAACCAGATGGGTTAATTAGCATCTATGCCCAAAAAAAAATATTTTTAAAGAAGGCAATAATAGGGGTGTGGTGGCTTATGCCTGTAATCCCACCACTTTGGAAGGCTGAGGTGGGAAATCGCTTGAGCCCAGGAGTTCAAGATCAGTCTAGACAACAGTGAGACCCCAACACTGTTTGAAAAAAAGCAATAATGGGTTGAGCATTCAGACATGAGTACAGACACAAATACAAAAGAGTTTTTGGCTTTGTTTTCCAACATCTATAATTTAGTGTGGGTAACAAAACACTCCTGTCCTTATCTACTCCAAGACCCTCGGTTCATTTTCTTAGAAATAAGTGACTTAACAGGACAGTGACAAAACTAATAATCAGATATCATCATAAGGAGGTCAGCATCAGGAGAAAGATCATAACTTTTTGCATAGAAATAAGGAAGCTGCAAACCTCCATGGAAAAAGCTTCTGATGAAACTTCTACACAAAACTAGGGGAAGAAGCTGGGTGGGAAGGAGACCAACTTTCATCTTTGTTGGTGTAGTAACTTAGGAATGACATAGATGCTGCTTATTAATAAAGGGATTCCTCCATTTAAGCAAATTGGTATATGAAGTTTAACTTAATGAACTGATAAGCTAGAGGACTATAGGATTTTTTTTTTTTTTTTTTACATTAGGAAAGTCACATATTCTAACCTAAAAATGGTAGCACCTGCCAGTGATGTGTGATCATGTAGCCAAAGTCAGACAACTGACCCAGCCAAGAGGAAAAGGAGGGTATCTCTAGATCTGAAAGTGCAAACTTAAGTGAATCCTCAGGCATGAGGAAAATTCTCATGGGTTGGAAGGACACAAAAGCTCATGACATACACAAAATCCTAGAGCTGGAAAACTGCTGTAATATTTTATGTGCATCACCCACACACCTAACTACCTTAGTCGTTACTCATTAAAAGTTTTCACATCTGCTTGCTAAGAATTTTCCTTTGGGAAGCATTTCTCTAATATAATGAAATTTACAGGAAAAGCAGAATTTGCTTCACAAGAATATATTAGGCTTGAGTAAAAACTTTGTCTGGAGACATGTTTTCAGTAGGTTCAGCTGCATTCCGAAAAGCAGTGCCCTGATGTCTCCTTTGACACTGGCTGATGTTTTACAGATTCAATTAAGATTTCTAATTCTGGTCATGGACATTATACCAAATGCTCACATACAGAGAAAGATTCAAAAAGAGAAAGCCACATCTGTCATTACCTCCCTCTGCTTAAAACAATAACCTTATTTTCCAAATCATTCACCTCTTCAGGACTTTCCCATGCACTTTTCAGGAAAGCCCTTTTACCCACCAACACATTTGACTGCTTGTGCTACATGTAAGACTGTTTTAGGCACTGTTGTGGATAGAAAGACTATTAAGATGAGACCTCATATTGCTTACATTTAATAGGGAAAATAAGATAAACAAATACAGGTTAAAAAGTACAAGTACCTAGGCCAGGCACGGCGGCTCAAGCCTGTAATCCCAGCACTTTGGGAGGCCGAGGCGGGTGGATCACGAGGTCAAGAGATCGAGACCATCCTGGTCAACATGGTGAAACCCCGTCTCTACTAAAAATACAAAAAAAGTAGCTGGGCATGGTGGTGCGTGCCTGTAATCCCAGATACTCAGGAGGCTGAGACAGGAGAATTGCCTGAACCCAGGAGGCGGAGGTTGCGGTGAGCCGAGATGGCGCCATTGCACTCCATCCTGGGTAACAAGAGGGAAACTCCGTCTCAAAAAAAAAAGTACAAGTACCTAATTGGTACTAATAAAGATCTTGGGAGTTCAGAGGAGGGGGAAAAATCTTATTTAAGCCTGATCGTGGGAGAGTTACTCTTATATTTAGAATATAGAAAGCTACAAAAACATCCCATCATTAACAGGAAAAAGCCAGATAGATAAGCCACAAAATCATAACTTTTCTTGAGTCCAGCAGAGAGCTGAAGTCAAAAGGTAACCAAGTAATCTGATTTCAAAAGAGGAACCAACCCCTCCAAGGAGAAGAGACATAAGAACAGTCTCAGCTACAGCAGGACCCAGAAACAATATGTTGCCATCACACCAGCTGTTAAGAATGTACCAGCTATAATCTTTTTTTTTTTTTTTATTCAGCTATTGAAACTTGTGTATGCTCTGCGAAGTTCTACCAGCTATATCTTAACGTACTGGCAAAGGCCAAAGGTGCACTAGATGTCAGTCTGGGATTGCCTGGGACTCCAAACCCAAGGAAAGTTCACACTCATTAGCAAACATTTTCCACAGGCCTCAAATAAAAGATGGAGGCAGGTGGAAGGCCAGAGAGAGGTTTCCTACCATCAGAGCAGAGACAGGAGACACTGGCCCGAGACTGAGCACAGATAGAAGGCAGAGTTTGACTACTACATGGACAGAGGGCAGGAACACTGAGAAAGCCCCGTGTCCAAAACCCAGGTGCACAGGTCCAGCCTAAGCCTAAGGCCAGAACAACAGGGAACCTCCTGCCCTGCCAACCAGCCCAGCACTAAGAAACAGACACCGGGCTGCCACCAGGGGAGGGGGCAAGAGCTTGGCGACAGATGCCTTTTGTGGGGTACATTGGCAGAGAAGGCTGAAAGCTGAGAGGGAAACACATGCTGAGAAATACCCACTGGTACCCATCTCCACCCACAGCAAAAGGTCTTGGCAGCCCTCTCCTAGAAGGACTTGAGGCCTGTAGTACAGTGAAGGTAATGAAAGCAACAACAAAACCCAAGCCAAACTCCTAACCAGATTGACCTCCTCACACCCACACCAATTCAAGCCTTCCTATTTTCCCCGCAATAAGGTCTTAAATTCCCCAACCACTGATTTACTTAACATGAGCATTTTCAAGAACGCAGCCAATCTAGGAACTGGATTACTGCAATCCCTACAGTGCCTACACTGGACCTATCTGACAGCTTGCTTGTGATATGATTTAAGCAACTCTGGAAAGGACCACGTGTCCTTTTAATTAAAAGTGTCTCACAGGTTCATGGTGTCTGAAATTATGTCTAGGAGATTATTAAAATGATCTATTTTTTAACATTAAAAAAGTTCAATATTTTTTGTCTCTAGAAGTGATTAAACAAAAACATCCCTTATAACCACCATTTTGGAAAGCTAAAGCATTATATAATTATGAATCCTTAGCAATTTACCAGGAAATTTATGATATTATTTTCTTCCTTGCAACTTTTCTCATAGTAAAAAAGTTAATGAGAAAACCTAGGTTCCAGTCCTGGCTCAGGACTGGAACACTTGAATCTAATTCAAGTGTTCTGAGCTTCAGGCCTCCTCATTTGCAAAATGGGGACTATAACTCTGACTTCATGGAGTTTCTGTGGACATTAAGTGAAAAAAATGCATCTGAAAACACTGAATAAACTGTAAATCACATATAAACAGGGAAAGAATGGATCAATACCCAGTTAAAAAGAGATACAGAAAAGTGTGGAAAATGTGGTATCAAATTAAAAACTCAATCTCAAATATCTTTAATTCAGCTTAAAAGCTATAAATCTCAAATATCTTTAATTCAGTTTTGATTAAAATGAAATCGGCTATTTCCTAAACTTGGTGGTAAAATACAGGATGTTTTTTCTTTATATATATGTGTGTTATATACTTATGGATTTTTTCAATTAAAAAAATTGATACCAGATGCCTTAAACTTTTATAGTGTTTTTGAAAATGCAAACACTAGGTCGGGTGTGGTGGCTCACACCGGTAATCCCAGCACTTTGGGAGGCTGAGGGTGGGCAGATCACTTGAGGCCAGGAGTTGGAGACCAGCCTGGCCAACATGGTAAAACTCTGTCTCTACTAAAATTACAAAAATTAGCTAGGCACAGTGGCATATGCCTGTAATCCCAGGTACTTAGGAGGCTGAGGCAAAAGAACTGCATGGGCCCAGGAGGCAGAGGCTGCAGTGAGCTGAGATCATGCCACTGCACGCCAGGCTATGCAACAGAGCTAGACTCTGTCTAAAAAAAAAGAAAAATGCAGACACTAGACCAGCCATTTGGCTTTGTTTGGATTATCTGGAATACCTTGAAAGAATATTGGCGATTATATACTTACTAGTTACCATACACATCTAATGTACATCTATATTGCGGTCATGTGATTATTAAGAAGAGAGTTTTTCTCTAATGTTTTAATGTCTGCTTTAAATACTTATAACAATTGCTGGCTTGTAACCTTGAGATTATGTTGGTTGTAGCCTAGATTTGCTAAAGATTGATCTTTCAACCTCATGAAGATTAACCCACTATGACTTCGGTGATCTGGTTCTACTTAAAGCTGACAAAACTATACACACTAAAAATTAGGAACATAACTAAAGGCATTCCTTCTTGTAAAGAAATTCCTTCTTAAGTATAGTAAAATGACTCGAATTTTATATTCCTTTTTTTTTTTTTTTTTTGAGACGGAGTTTCGCTCTTATTACCCAGGCTGGAGTGCAATGGCGCTATCTCGGCTCACCACAACCTCTGCCTCCTGGGTTCAAGCAATTCTCCTGCCTCAGCCTCCCGAGTAGCTGGGACTACAGGCGTGTGCCACCATGCCCAGCTAACTTTTTTTTGTGTAGAGACGGGGTTTCACCATGTTGACCAGAATGGTCTCAATCTCTTGACCTCGTGATCCACCCGCCTCAGCCTCCCAAAGTGCTGGGATTACAGGCATGAGCCACCGCGCCCGGCCTCAAATTGGTTAACTTTAAAATTCTTTGCAGAATCCTGATTTTCCATGAAATCAATAAGATAAAGAGATAAATTCCAAGCATACAGTATTTTTTGAAATAGGCACAACTCACATGGAGAGTCAGGGTACTAGGGTACATAACTGCACAAGAAGCATAAAGAAAAGGACATATTCTGGCATGGAATGGGATTGCAGGCATGAACCACCATGCCCGTTTATAAACTTCTCTAAAAGCATTTCTTATAGAGC